CCTCCTGAACTGTGAGAGAATAAATTTCTGTGTGCGTGTGTGCGTGTGTGTGTGTGTGCACGTGCACGCATGTGTGTGTGGCGGGGGGGGGAGGTTTAAGCCACCCAATTTGTGGTAATTTGTTACAGCAGCCTTAGGAACTTATAGAATTGGTCTGGAATTGGTCTTTGGCAGGTCATTTCTTTCTTTTGCTGAAGGCTTAGCTATTGTCGACAGGAATGTCTTGATGTAGGAAAAGAGGGGCAGTGGAAACTGAAGTTCTTTCCCGTACTCCCTGACTTCCTAAAGAGGGTCAAGTGTTCTTACCTCACATGTGACAGAAAAGAGGCCTGAAGTAAGAGCTAATCATAATTCATTATCTCATTTGAGATGAGGTCATAGGTGGGTCCCTTTCTGTTTAGTAACAAAAATAGAAAGTAAACATCAGTTTCAACAGGGATTTCTTTCAAGAATGTGGTATATCTGACCTTACTTAAATTTGATAGCTAATCTCATTGATTTCACATGAAAGAGGAGAAAATCATTAATCCCATGGAGGTGGGGGTCATAGTCGACATTTTCCATGTTTTAGCTACTCCAAATTTAAACAGACACCTCTCCTACCTGAGAGATTTTCTCTTTGAGTGGGTTTGGGTTAGGCAGGGCCCACCTCCTTCAGTGGAAATCCAACAGGGACGGATACTTCATTTCCCTGTTAATCTGGCAACTAGGGCTCAGGCATGTTACCTCATCTCAATCAGTAGGTTGCTCCCACCTGGGACGTGCATTACGTCTTAAAGAAGTGACCCAAAGATGCAGGGGCAGAGATTATTCTTGGTGGCAGCAGCAGAGGGTACAGAGGCAGGGGCATTTAATGGTGGCATTCTCACCATCTGATTTTTGGATTGTTGGAGCATTTTATCAGTGTGACCTGGCTGTGCTTCCTCCCCTCCAAGTCCTACCCAGCCTCCCTCATCCCCATTCTTCTAGTAAATTTGACTTCCTGTTTAAGTTAGCCAGAGATGGTTTCTGTTTTTTTTTTTTTGCGGTATGCGGGCCTCTCACTGTTGTGGCCTCTCCCGTTGCGGAGCACAGGCTCCGGACGGGCAGGCTCAGCGGCCACGGCTCACGGGCCTAGCCGCTCCACGGCATATGGGATCTTCCCAGACCGGGGCACGAACCCACGTCCCCTGCATCGGCAAGGCAGACTCTCAACCACTGCGCCACCAGGGAAGCCCGGTTTCTGTTGTTTACAGTCAAGAACTCTATCTGGTATAGAGGCTTCAGGTCAGAAAAGGGAATTGTACCAGTGGTTTCCTTTTTTGTTTATTTTGTTTTGGTAGCATGCGGGATCTTAGTTCCCTGACGAGGGATCAAACATGTGCCCCTGGCAGTTGAGGTGTGGAATCTTAACCACTGGACCAGAGGTCCCTTACCAGTGGTTTCCTATAATGGACACTGCCATGTCAGACAGATACCCCTATCAGATTTGGAGGATGGAGGACCAGAAGAGGGGGTATGTTGGCACAGGAAGTGAGCCAAGAAGACACATCACAATTTTATGATGTGGTTTTCAGAGTTTCCCTCTTTTTCAGCCTCCCCTGAATATACTTCAATTTCTCAATTTTCCCATGTAAGGTGTGGTGCACAGCCCTCAGTCTAATACCACAGGCATGGGCCCTGGGACTATTGCCTCCCTCCCACTGCATTCTAAGTAAGATTAGTAATAATCGTATTGCGCTCCAACCCAGCCCAACTCCCCACCCTCAATGATGAGGTGCTTCCCCCGCCCACCCCGCCCCAGAGCTCACATAGCACATTGCTGCCTTAGCATTTACTGCTTTATGTTGAAGTTATCCCTTTAACACGGGAAAGTAGTAATCAGATAAGTGCAAAATAAAATAACAATGGGAATGCCAGGTTTTTTGCCTATATTTTTGTTTTTTAATAACAATGTGATATTGAGGTATACGCTTGTTTCTTAAAAGCAGTATAGCAACATGTATCAAGAGAACTGGAAAATATTTAAAACCTTAGGCCCAGGAATTCCACTTCTAGGACTCCCTCCAAACATAAATAATTAGAGGCATGGACCAAGATTTATGTACAAAGATGTTGACTGCAGCTTTATTTATAATAGTAGGATCTGAAAACAAACTAAATGTACAACAGTAGCGGAAAAGTTAAGTGAGCAATAGTCTGTCCATGTAGCTTTTTATACTGATGTTGATAAACTTGACTTTTTAGAAATGTTTTATTAAAAAATTTGTTATTAGAAAGTAACCCATGTGAAAAATTCAAGCAGTACAGAAATGTAAAAAATAAAGGTACAAGTCACTCTGTGTGATTGCCATGAGGAAAAAGAAGTTTTATCTTTCTGCTAGGGTTGTCAAGCCTGGAAAGTACGAAATGGGGCTGCCAGCAGCCATCCTCCCACAGCAAGAAGTGAAGTGACCTCAGAATGAAGCCAAGCACTGAGAAGCAGACAGAGGGGAGAGCAAGAATGCCTGGGGAAGTGAGTTCTGCTTCTGGTCCCTTGAGACCCTGGTTTCTGCAGCTCATCCTTTAACTGTGAGGGCCACTTCAGTGTCCTTCCTGTTCAATGGGCTAGTAAACAGCCTCTCTTCCCTTGACTTTTAACTGATTGAGTCATGACTAGTATAACTGGGACAGCTGCTTTGTGGGAATCAAATTATACTGTTTGTGCTATAATCCTATTCTAACGATCAAATAATTCTTCCAGCAGCATGAAATGAGGTCCATTTGGCATGAAGTGGGCTTGGCAAACCAGTAGAAGCCTCTAAATAATCACCTTTTTTTCATGGTCACAAATCATCCTGGGACTAGACCTCAAGTTCATCAGGGTATACTGTCTGGAATATATGTATTTTTCCTTTTATGAAACTGAAGACAGCAACTATTCATATTTAGTCTTATGTTATCTCTTCCAACATATTTTCTCAAAGATCCTTAAGAAAGGCTTTGGGGTCATAATCTAAAGCACTATCCGTATGCTAGAATGTAACTCATTTGAGTCTAAAGATTTTTAACCCATTTAAGGCAACTTGGTGATTTCTACCACCGCACCTATCTTGGCTTTTAATTTCTTCTTACTGCTATTTTCTTTGTTCTTTACAGCTTGAGGATCATTTCCTTTGATAGAAAATGCAAGCAAAATAGACAGACATTGGGTATTTCTGTGTTCTTTCAGTTGTCTGATCATTATCGTATCATGTGGTCTCAAGCAGTGGGAATATCTTTTTCTTCTAGCTCTTGATATTGAGCATAAAATACCCCCTCCCCCAATAAAAAATAAAAGCCCTTTTTGCTATTAAACCTGACTGTATTGTGTGCTATAGACTTCCTGAATCTCCCCTTTCACATCCATGGCCCTTTTTAATATCTTCCTTTGTTATGTGTTCCTCCTCCAAACCCCTGCCCTTTAACATCCTGATTTCACTGGGTGTTGGCTGTGTGAGTACATCTCTTATTTCTTCCACAGCCAGATCACTGGGATTTGTAGGTCAGAATCTGGGTCTATGCACCTCCTACTCCTCTGAAACCATATCCTTTTTTATAGCCTTTACCATGAAATTGTATGTATTTAAAAAATATGATCTATTTTTTCCAGTTTAAAGAGTAATTCCTGCTTATGAGACAAAGTTTAGAAGCATAAAGAGAGCACATTATGGCAGAGACTGCTGGCTCTCTCAATATTCATTCCCTCCTTCTGCTTGACATACTCAGATGTTAGCTGGGCTGCCCAAAATAAACCCTACATTTCCTGATCTCCCTTGCACCTGGGTGTGACCTTGTGGCTATCTTTTAGGCAGTGGAATGTGAGCAGAAGTGATGTGTACAACTTGTGGATTTTGTTCTTAAACCTTCCGCTCCTGCTTTTTCCTGATTTTGCTGGCCAGCATGCAATTATAGCAGATATGGTGGTGAGCATTCTTGAAATATGTGGACCAGGGCAACACCCTAGATATGGCTTTCCATCCAAATCTCAGGAGCCTGGGTAACAGACACTGTGGAGACACTACATCAGCTCTGGAATGTAAATGTTCAGGGTGTTATATGAGAAATGCATTTGTATCTCATTTAAACCACTACATTTTTGAGTTTCTTTGTGACAGTAACTTCACCTGTATCCTAATAAAATAAAGTCATTAATTCAACAAGGATTTATCCCAGTCACAGTGCTTATACTCTGTTCACAGAGAAATATAATAATAATCATAACTGCAAAACTCTGTAGTTGTTTACTACATAGGGTACTTCTGTTGTGCCAGGTACTATGCTTTTTGCACAGATTAGTTTATTTAATGCTCGCTACAGCTTCATTAGGTAGACACTCGACTTTTATTGCTCTCATTTTACAAAGAAACTGACACACAGAAAGGTTGGTGACTTGTCCAAGGTCATACAGGATAGTAAGTAGCTGAGAAAGGATTTGAGCTAGAGTCTCTGACTCTGGAGCTATTATTTTGTCTCACCAAGACAAGACTGTGTCATGGAACTGCTCATGGCAGAGGTAGAGTCAAGTTGAGTTACTTAAGATGATAATAGTATTGAAGACATATGACTAAAAAGTCATGACAAAACAGAAAAAAAAAAAAGCTGTGCAAAAATGGAAGGCAGCAATGAATTTTCCCTGGGAAAAGCTGCAAGTAAGGAAAGTGAAAGAGCACACATTAGATAGAAGATATGTATATCTTTTGCAAAGTTTTAGTGTGTCTGAGGAGTAGTAAGACACTCAGTGACAGAAGTATATGGTATATTGGAGATAATGGAGTGAAATTATACCATAAATTGTTGTTGCTAACATTTTTTTTTTAATTAAAAAAAAACCTATTTATTTGACTGTGCCAGGTCTTAGTTGCAGCAGGCGGGCTCCTTAGTTGTGGCATGAGAACTCTTAGTTGCAGCATGCATGTGGGATCTAGTTCCCTGACCAGGGATCGAACCCGGGCCCCCTGCATTGGGAACGCGGAGTCTTAACCACTGCGCCACCAGGGAAGTCCCAGCTAACATTTATTATTATGTGTCAGCACATATTCTAACTGCTTTATATACATAAATTTAGTCAACCCTCATAACAACCCTATGAGGTAGGTGTTATTATCATTAACTTCATTTTAGATGAAGAAATTGAGGCATAAAGAGGTGAAGTAATTTTGCCCAAGGTCACACAAATAGTAAGTAGTAGAACCTACCTAGTTTGGCTTCAAAGTCCTGCAGTAGTCTGGATCCAATAAGAAGAAACCACATGGTAGGTTAAACAAGAGAATTTGCATGTCAAGAATTAACTATGATAAAAGTGAACTGTAAGATAAAAGGAAACTATATGGTAACTAGGGCTGAGGGAGAGTATGCAAGGACAAATTTGAGAGGGGTCTGGATCTCGTTGGAGAAAGCAAGGGTTGGCTACCAGACAGCAGAGAAGTTTGCTGGTTTAGCCAGGCTGCAGGCAGTCTGGAGTTGCTAGGCAGACGGCAGAGAAGCGGGTGGAGGCGAGCAATCACCAACTGGCCCTGTGGGGAACCACGGGAATCTGGGAGCCAGCAGGGACAGAAGGCCTTCAAGAGGCCTGGGGGGAATACTGGGGTGGGGGGCGGAAGGACTGCTCAGTGTGTGACCCTGACCCCCAAAAGTCTTGCTGAAGGACAATGGGCAGGTGGTTGCCTGCAGGCCTCGCAGGGCTCTGGTTTCTGTGTCAAGAGGGCTGCATACAGGTTATTGCCAGGCTGAAGCTGCAAGGTTGCAGAAGGACCGAGTTTGGGTCTGTGGCTGGAGCGGACCCCACTGGATGTTTTCATGACCACACTCCTACCTCTGGTCCGGTCTCTCCTAACCACACTCCTAACTCTGGTCAGGTCCCAGAAACTGCAGGAAGCTTCTTCCTCCAGCGAACTTAACTGAGAAGGCTTAACATCGTGCTCACTTTAAAGAAGAAATGCTTAAAGGAATTCAGTTTTTTATCACAGAGCCTATGTTGAAGTATGTATTTGGACCTGAGAGGCAATACGCTGATAACTGACACAATGACTTATGTTCAAAGTCTTTAGGACTTTTGGGCTTTACAATTCATGAGACTGAGAGAATCTAAAAACCAATAAAATAAACTAAAAATTTAAGTTTTGATAATGGGAAATACCCTGATCAGCTATATATGTCACTTGCAAATTTAAACATTCAGAAGGATATAAATCTAAAGTGAAAGTCCTCCATACCACTCATTAACCAGAGATAAACACTTTTTTAAAAAAAGTTTTTTCTTATTGGCTGGGTTGGGTCTTCATCGCAGCACACGTGTTTTCTCTAGTTGTGGTGCGCGGGCTTCTCACTGCAGTGGCTTCTCTTGCTGCAAAGCGCGGGATCTAGGCGCGCTCATGGGCTCTAGAGCGCAGGCTCAGGAATTGTGGCGCATGCAGCGATAAACACTTGCAACAACCTGCTGTCTTTCCTTCCAGACTGCCAGCAAATAAACAAATATATGATGAACACAAAAAGGATATCATGAGGACCCTCTCAAAACTGTTCTTACTATGTTAAAAAAATCAACATACCTTTCTGAGCCAATATATTTGGAATTAACCCCCCTCATCATCCTCTCCGCTACCCCTCCCCACCAGACTCAAACTCAACCTTTGTTTTTCACACAGAGGTCCTCTTACTTCACTTGCACACGTGGAGTCTTCCGAGTCTCATCTGCCACAGCCGGCAACAGGTTACAGGGTCTCGGACTCCTCGGAGACTCATGAAGCACCGTTCACCAACTCCAAGCCCTCCCCTGACTCGTGTCTCAAGCGGCCAGCCGGTGACCCCCTTTTCCCCCACGCTGACTGCAACCCCGCTGTTCCCAAAACCTCCAGCAAGCCTGGCGCCGCAGCCGCTCTAGGACCACGTGCCGCCCCGCCCCGCCCCTGGCCCACCCCGCCCCGCCCCTGGCCCACCCCGCCCCGCCCCTGGCCCCACCCAACTGGGGGGTCTCGCCCACCAGAAACCACGCAGTCCTCCTCGCCCTGGGCTCCGCCCACTGTGAACTCACGCCGCTCACCCAACCCCGGATCCGCCTACGTTGCCCTGGCTCCACCTTCACGGGACCAGCACTGCGCGCCTCGAGCTCCGCCCACCTCGTCCCAAGCTTCGCACGCCGGGAGATTGCGTCGCTCGCCCCGCCCAGGCTCCGCCCAACAGGGCAGCGCTCGTCCGCCCACTGACCACACCCCCCCACTCCCGCCCCGACTCCACCCTTCCGGAATCTGCAACGCGCGTCTCAAACTTCTTGCGCGGGGATCCTTCGCGCCCGCTCGCCCAGGCTCCGCCTACCCTGCCCCAGGCCCCACCACCCGGGGACGCCACCAGCGGCCTCAAGCTCCGCCCACTCCGCCCCGCGAACCCACGTTGCGCTTAGTGCGCCGACGCCTTCGCTGAAGCCCGCCCGCGGGGCTCTTCCAGTCGGTTCGCCTCAGGCCTGTGCCGAGGCCCGCCATGGAAGGGGACGTCTCCGCCGCCGCAGCCGCCCACTACCAGCCGGCCAGTCCCCCGCGGGACGCCTGTGTCTACAACAGCTGCTACTGGTGAGGGGGAGCGGGGTCGGCTCCCGGCGTCTCCCTGGCCCGCTCGGCCGCGGCGTCGTAGCCGAGCCCCGCCTCTTCCCGGCCCCTCCCCGGGGCCGCTCTGGGCCTTGGCGGGCGAGTGTTCCGGTTTGAGGGGAGGAGGGAGTGGGGAGCGGGAGTGGCAGCCCTTGTTCCTTGAGTCGAGCGTGGGCGTTTGGGTGTGGAGGGGGCGGTATTCGCCAGGAGTGGTAGGGTCGGTGGTGCGTTACTTCTGCCCGGCTTCTTTCGCTTGGACGTTTGTCAGCAGATCTCGGGGCTTGGGCGGCCAGGAAGGGGGTTGGAGGCGGAGGGTGGACCGCAGAGAGCATTTGGAAATTATTCTGCTGAAGCCTGCGTGGTTTCACACTGATGTGAAGGTCATCTTAATTTTGGAAGAGAATGAAAGCGCAGAGATCCTACAGTAACATTACCAAGATCACCCAGCTAATAGCAGCCCGGAATCCAATTCAGTCCCTTTTGTACCAGAAACCAGGATCTGAACCGCCGTGTCGTCATTATAATAGTGGTTACATTTACACGTAGCACTTGATATATGCCAAGAATTGTTCTGAGACGTTTATGTCAACGAAGTAATGTGAGCCCCACAGTTACACGAGGAGGTCGGTACTGTTGTCCCCATTTTAAAGGTGAGCACGTTGGAGCATGGAGGGATGCAAGTAATTTGCCTAAGGCCACATAGCTTGTGAGTGAAGGAATGGGGATTTACACGCAGAGTTCGGCTCTGGAGTCCACACACTGCACCCCTGTCCTAGGCCACCTCTGTGGCTGAATCACCACTCTTATCTTGGTCCTTTTCATACCCACACCTGCCTTTCCCTTGCTTGAATAATGACTTCTAACCCCACTTTCCAGTCCCTGCACAAAAAACCTTAGGGTCCTCTATAACTTACCTTTCCCTCCTTCAGATGGTCACCCCACCGATGCTGTGGAGCTCACCATTTGTTCAGCTCTGACTGCATGTCAGGCCTAGTGCCAAGTACTTCCATCCATGCTTAGGAGATAGGTCTTTTGTTATCATTCTCCTCATGAAAAGACTGAGCCACAGAGAGGCCTGTTGTTTGCCCAGGGTCACACATCTAGCCAGTGGTGGTGCTGAACCTGGAACCTCTGTAAGGGTGGAGCCATGCTTCTTCTGCCCTGTCTCCCACCTCAGTCCTGTTAGTTCTTGTCCCTCACATCCATCCGTTGTTGTTGTTTTTTTGTGGTACATGGGCTTCTCACTGTTGTGGCCTCTCCCGTTGTGGAGTACAGGCCCTGGACGTGCAGGCTCAGCGGCCATGGCTCACGGGCCCAGCCGCTTCGCGGCATGTGGGATCTTCTCGGACCGGGGATTGAACCCGTGTCCCCTGCATTGGCAGGCGGATTCTTAACCACTGTGCCACCAGCAAAGTCCCTTGCTGGGGATGTTTTTGAGAAGGTTCAACTGTTAGCCAGTTGTTGGATGAGATGGTATTTCAGGTCTCTACCAATTTTTTTAAATGTCATTATCAGTCTTTTGGGCAAATTTGAAAGACATAGAGTGTTCTTGTTTAATTATATTGATTAAACAATTACTTTATTTCAGTGAAGAAAATATTTGGAAGCTCTGTGAATACATCAAAAACCATGACCAGTATCCTTTAGAAGAGTGTTATGCTGTCTTCATATCTAATGAGAGGAAGATGGTAAGTTGGGGAGTGATTGTGGAAATTTAGGATTACATTAGAAGCTAAATAGACCATGGGTTTAGCACTGTTCTAAAATGTGCCTTATAAAATACAGCAACATTTTAAAGTTCGTTTTTGAATGAGATTTTTTCCCTACCAGGACATGGTTGAGTTAGTAGAGCTTAGTCCCTTACTTGCAGGTAAGGAGATATGTGATGGTATGTTTATGCAAATAAAATCCCCTTTCTTTAGGTATTAAGTTAGAGCTTTTAAAATTAAACTTAATTTTTAAATTAAGTTAGAGGCACATATTCTCAGGTTTGAAGTAAAGGTTTCTTTGTTTCTGGAGTTTTAATGGAACTGTAGTAAACTTCTATGAAGTATTAAGAAAATTAAGCCCTTAATATTTTGTAAAGCACTTTTGTGAACATCATCTTGTTTGACCCCAGTGGAAACCCTGTGAAGTAGACAAGGTCCAGACAGCTGTCTCTGTTTTATAGATGAGGAAATAGAGACTCAGGGAGGTCCCATGAATAATTAAGTGGGAAAGCAAGATTTGAACTTGCCAGGAATTCCAGTTCCTAGTTTAGGTCTCTTTCTACTCTCCAGAAAACACCTTGTAATTAATTATTGCTCCTTCATTGTTAAGGACACTTGGAAGGATTTGGATTTCTTCTTATCCATTCATTCTTTCACCTTGATTGTTGGTTGCCTAGAAATATTTTATTTTTCATGTATGTATTGCTTTAAAGAATTTAGTAGTGGTTTAACTGAAGTTGTGGCTTAGGAGAGTTATTGTATTTTGTAGATACCTATCTGGAAACAACAGGCAAGACCTGGAGATGGACCTGTGATCTGGGTAAGGTGGTCAACACAGACAGCTTCTGATGCAATAGTACTTGTAATCCATGAGTGGTCTTTATGTTTTGGTAGAGCAGAAATAATGGGGCAGTAGAGAAAGACTATGATAATTATTAATAATTTGACTTCTTGACGATAGATGTTATTTGGTCTAAGGTAGAAGCACTTATGGGCATGTTTTCTTTTAATTTTGAAATTATTATAGGAATGATTTTAAATGGCTGATGTAGCAGATATATTCGTTATCTAGACTCTTGTCTATGTAGCACTGGAAGGAACTTGAGCATTATCTAGTCCAGCTGCACAGTAGAATTATCCAGAGATTGTTAAAAATACAGGTTTCTGGGAATTCCCTGGCAGTCCAGTGCTTAGGACTCAGGGCTTTCACTGGCAGGGGCCTGGGTTCAATCCCTGTTCGGGGAGCTAAGATCCTGCAAGATGTGCGACATGGCAGAAAAAAAAAGAAAAAAGAAAAAAAAATACAGGTTTTTGATCTAGTCGATCTAGAGGTTCAGGAATTAGTGTTCTTAGTAGACTTCTGAGTGAACATGACTGGCATTTGGAAAACATGGATCTGCGCCGACCCCTTCATTTTTCAGGTGAAGAAAGAAGCCAAGAAAGGCAGAGTGAATAGCTCAGGGTCATTAAGCTGATCATTGGCAGGGCTGGGTCCTTTCCAGTACACATCCATATGTCACCTTAAACTGGTCCCCTGAAGAATGGAATTGTTTATGCTAAGAAACATGAAGATAAAGTAAAACTCCATTCATGATAATGCAACAAACATCAGGTTTCTGATGCTTATTTAGAATAAGATATCATTTGAATTGGCTTCATTCATTTACTTAACATATATTTATTGAGTGCCTCTTATATGCCAGGCACAAATAGACTGAAATCCTTGGCCTCATGCTCTTGCTTCCTTCACCAGCAGGGGATCCTCTGCTCTAACATTGAAGCCCAAATCCAGCAGTGTTGGGTTAGGAGTGCAGGCTGAGTTGGACACATGGGGGTTAAACCCCAGTCCTCCCATTGGTGGGCTGTGTGAGCTGGACAGGTTATTTACGCTCTTTCTTCGGTGTCTTCCTCTGGTCACTGGAGGCTTTAGTGAAATAATGCATTTGAAGCATTGTCCTGGTATCTGGTACCAGTGCTCCAGAAGAGTTAGCTATTATTGTTAGCAGAGCTACAATAACCCCAGTTGCGGACTGTCCATCTGCCCTAGCAATCATGCCCATTGCTGAAGTGCTCAGCTGATTTTGAGTCACGGTCTTGCTTCCTGTCTTCAGGAAACTTGTAGGGAAAGGACCTGTCCCCCTTTACACAGCAGCTCATGACGGTTCAGTGTGGGGAACCTTGTTTCAGGAAGTCTCCCCACAGATTTTCTATGTGGAGCAAGTCTCTGGCAGATTGATCTGGGCCTCACTGCTGTTCTGTTGCAGGGAATGGGTAGGCTTCCCTAAGTGGGTAGAGGCACGATCCCCAGAGAAACAGATCACTTTCTAAGCGGACATCCCTGCCTCTAGCCCCACTGGGTCTTTACCAGGCATTTGGACAAGCTCTGTACCCAACTCAGAGAGTGAGGCTATTGCTGGAATCTGCATTCCTTGGTTCCGCATCTCTGCCGTGAAGGTGACTCCTAGTTGAGGCCTGCTTTCCCTCTCGAGTTCACCAGCCATCTGTTACGTAGGAATATGGACCCGAGCTAACCAGAAGGGTATTCCTTGTTTATGCCTTTTCCTCTCTTTTTTTTTTGGG